TCTTAAAAAATAATAATAATAGAGATTGCCTATCTCCTAGAACTGGAAGGGACCTTCAAAGGTCATTGAGTCAGTCCCCTGCCTTCACAGCAGGACCAACTACTATCCCTGACAAATTTTTGCCCCAAATCCCCTCCCCAAGGATTGGGCTCATAACGCTGTGTTTAGCAGGCCAATGCTCAAACCACTGAGCCATCCCTCCCCCCTTGTGCAAGAGAGCATCTACATTGGCACGGATGCTTTTGTGCAAAAGCACGTCTTTTGCACAAAGACACATGCCAGTATAGATGCTCTCTTGTGCAAATACTTTTAATGGAAAAACTTTTCCGTTAGAAGTATTTGCACAAAATCATGCCAGTGTAGACGCAGCCGTTACAAGTTTGAAACGTCTTCTTCAGAGTAACTGTGCTCAAGTCTGTGGGGTGATAATCTAGCATAACAGGGCATGAGCTTTGACTGAGCCCAGAGGTAACCCACGTGCTAACTAATCAGAATAACGGTGACCAGTGAAGGTCATTACTAAGAACTAACCTACACTCTACACTATACAATTCTGCCTTGGTCTGCATTCATGCCGTTTATCTTAGCACAATTCAGGCTGCAAAAAGAAATGTATTAATTGGCTGGACAGACCAGCTCTCTAGTTCAGGCTCAGCTGAACCACAAGCTGCCACCAGTGTCCATGATTTTAATTAAGACCACAACGTAATTAACTCCACTAGTTTCATACGATGATGCTATTATGTGCTGTGGGTAACTGACTGAAGCACTTTCTGCGCACATGCAACAAATGAATCCCTCCCAGGCTGCCAAAGGAGAAAACGGCTCCCAGATGCAGAGTAAGTTTGCGGCGGTTTTGCACGGCTCCTTACCGCGAGAAGCTGAAGACCTGGGCTGGTTTCAAGGAACATTTTCCTGAATTTGTTTCTTCCACTCTCTCCGGGTTTGGCCACATTCAAAATAGAGGGATGTGGGCTCAAAGGGATTCAGATGGCAACGAAGGGATTAGATCATCTCTCCCAAAATGCCCAACGTCATCAAAATCTGGAGCCAAAGAGGAATTCTGTGGCTTAAGCCCCTCTCCGCTGTTCCCTCAAATGAACAGCTTCTCAGTACAGACAAAAATGCTGAGAAGTAAAGTCAACCTCCGTAACCCTTTCCTGCCAGCCACCGGCTCTCCAGAAACAGCCAAGGGCCTGGAAAATTCCATCCGTGCACTGTCTTGGTGGCAACAAAGTAATAAATCTGGGCATACTACAGGCCTTTCCATCCCACCCTCTATCTGTGGCGATGGGGAGAGCCCTTCCAGACAAGGTACCTGGTCCTATTCAACTCACCTACCGCAGAACTACAGAATCAAGCTCAGTTTGGCTAAGGCTGTAGGAACTTGCTAAGAACCCCAGACTGTGGAGGAAGGCAGCAAAAGCAGGTAGATTTGAGGGGCTGAGAAAGGGAGCCCAGTATTTGGGACCACAGATATAATTTTGTATTTAGAAACGTGAAGCAGGAAGAGGAGGAGGCTGACGTGTGGGTGGGGGATTTTCCCTTCTCTACATGCACACGCTGCAATTGTTGTTGCAACTGTGCCATAGAATGAACCGTGCAAGAGGCTGATGCTAACGGTGCTAGGCTTTGATCTCTTTAGTCATACCTCAGCTAGAATTGTGATTGTGCTTCTTTCTATCGCACTATGGAAATCCTGCAAACTGTGCAAAGATCCACAGGTGAAAGGCAGATACGTATCTTTGAATTATTGATATTCACTAATCCAGACTTTGGCATGCAAAGCTCTCTGGGAATTGTAGTAAACAGGAGAGAAAGAGGGGAAATACATATGTAGTTGGCAACTCTGGCTTGCTTGGTAGCCTAGATTGGAGCAAGGCTCCCTACACCTCGTCTGACAATGTTAAGATTGCAGGAAAATATGGTCTGCAGCAATAAATCTCTGTGCCATAGAGGGCTCTGAGGGCTGGGAGAGGAATCGTTCCCTGGAGCTGAGAACTGTGTTCCTAGGTGGGGTGGAGCTGTGATGCACAACATGTACCCTGGGCTGTATGCAGAGGTCTTCCGCGGGCACTCGGCTAGAGTGGTGTTCCTCAGGATGGGGGTTGCAGCCCCCAAGGAGGTCATTGGGCTGGGTTAGGGGCTTGCAAGTGCAGGACCAGCATTGGAGGAGCTGTAGGGTTGCCAGGTGTCTGGCATTGACCCGGACAGTCTGGTATTTTCACCTCCTGTCCGGTAAAAAATTCAAAAAGTACCAGTATGTCTGGTATTTTCTGATTTTTTCCCAGCCAGGAGGAGAAAATCCCGGGTGCTTACTGGGTTCCGCAGGAGAGCTGACTGGACCGGAGCAGGAAGACAAAAGACACCAAAAAGCATTTCTTAAAGGGGCCATGCTGGTTTTTTCATTATTATTATTGCTTAATAACTCTCGGGATCCTTTCTTTTTTTTCAAACAGATTTTTCCCCTTTTTGGGGGAGGGAGGTTCAGTATTTTTGGTTAAACCATCCGGCAACCCTAAGGGGGTGAGCAGGGCAATTGCCCAGGGCGGCCAGGCCACAGGCGGCCCCGTGCAGGTCACTGTCAGGCTTCGGCCCCCCATCTGGGCTGGGGGGCAGACAAGGTGCCACGAGGGCCCGTGTCGGGCGACGCTGCCATTTGCATGTCGGGTTTTGGAATCGAGTCGTTCTAGACGCGACGCAGCTCGGGGCCCGTGGGACAAGCCCGGCTCCTGGAGGGGCCAGGCTGAGCGCCCCGGGGGAGCCAGGAGGGGAACCCAGGAGCCCTGGGGCCCAGCCTGCTCCAGCCCGTGAACTCCCTGCCCCCGCCCCCAGGAG